GTCTCTTGTCTGTGGCTCTGATGGAAGAACATATTCAAATGAGTGCATGATGAAACTGGAATCTTGTCATCAACAGCGAGAAATCAGCTCTGTTTCAATCGAAAATTGTGAAGGTTAGTATGCACATTCTTTTAAAACCTTTGTAAATTAAAATAATCAATCTTTACTAATTTGTTCTTGCTCACAAAAAAGTCAAGACATAAAATTATATAATCAGTAAACAACATTTACTTGATTCATGAACCTCTGTTGGAAAATAAACTCATAATCCTCTCTATTACAAACTGTAGGAATATTAAAAAAATATCTCATATTTTATTCCAGCCATAACGTATCAAATGATAAATATTGATTTTCTGGATATTCCTCTATGTATAAGCTATGATTAATAAATGTGATATTTATATAAGCTATGATTATTAAATATGATATTTATATAAGCTATAATTATTAAATTTGATATTTATACAAGCTACGATTAATAAATATGATATTTATATAAGGTATGATCATTAAATTTGATAATTATATAAGCTATAATTATTAAATTTGATATTTATACAAGCTATTATTAATAAATATGATATTTATATAAGGTATGATCATTAAATTTGATATTTATATAAGGTATAATTATTAAATTTGATATTTATACAAGCTATGATTAATAAATATGATATTTATATAAGGTATGATCATTAAATTTGATATTTATATAAGGTATGATCATTAAATTTGATATTTATACTAGCTATGATTAATAAATATATTTATATAAGCTATGATTATTAAATATGATATTTATATAAGCTATGATTATTGAATATATTTATATAAGCTATGATTATTAAATTATATTTATATAAGCTATGATTATTAAATGGGATATTTATATAAGTTATGATTATCAAATGTGATATCTATATAAGCTATGATTATTAAAGGAAATGCTTTTATAAACTATGCTTATTCAATATGCAGATGAATGGTAGATTTATAAATGTGCAAGATGGATTCTGACAAGAAAAATTGCCTGGCAATAATTTCATATTTAAAGATGTTTTCAGATTTTAAATGGGTCAGTATGTCAAAGTTTTGGAAAGTGAAGAAGCAAAACAAGAATAAATGAAGCCCATCAAATTCCACAAATATTTGATGGACAACATGAGATACAGACATATGTTGAACAATGTATCTAAGTGCAAGTAAACTGAGAACAGAAACACTTATATTATTTCCACCACTAAATTAACTCTCCTTGTACATTTAATCCACAATTCTTCCTAAGTTTATAGGCAGACTGGAATTATTTTGACCGGGTTAAATCTGATCATCTTCTCTCAAGTAGATTACTTACAAGATTGCAAATGGAGAATCAGGTGTTTCTTTGGAGTACTTGTTGACCAACAACTAAATCTAGTAAGCCACTTTGATGAAAAGCAATTCAGTCTTCACACACCTCAGATTTTTTTTATCTACCTATATACATACATACATACATACATAGCTGTGTTTTTTTGTTGAGGCAGGACAAGAATTAATCTTGCACAAAGCAAGGTGTGTCCAACCTGACAAAGGATTTGTCATAATGATTTGAGGCAAGGTTTTAGAAGGCTGGATGTTCTTCCTGATACCCAACTCAGATACTTTTGGTAGTCCAAGTGCACTCTAGGAATGTTGGGATTGATGGCTTGAGACCCGAACCTAGCTTGATACACACACACACACACACACACACACACATATACATATATATATATATGTGTGTGTGTGTGACAAATGTAAAAAACATTTCATTGAAACCAGATTTGATTACTTTGTCAGGATTTTGTATCCTAATTTATACACACACACACACACACACACACACACACACACACACACACATATATATATATATATATATATATATATTAAAGAAAAACAGACCACTTTAAGGTTCAATTATAATAATTTATTTCACCAGAGCCCTTTTAAAGGATGCCGGATCATCAGAAAGCACTTCCAAAAAATGAAATGAAAATGAAATAAAAATTGATGAGGAGTGTAAGTTTTTGTAATTTAACAGAGAGTTTAATAAGGGGTGGTTAGAGAGACATGGTAGAGTTTAGGGAGGGTTTAATTTAATATTTCTCTCAATCATACTTAGTATTAGGGGAGGAGGAGTGACCAGGCCATGACCTATTTAAATGGTTAACTTAACGGAAGTGATATATTGAAATGGGAGCGGAAAAAGGAAAAAGAAAGAAGGGGGAAGTAAAGAGAAAGAGGCTGTAAATGGGTTTTGCATATGAAGGAGATGGTTGGTAAGTTTTAGCAATTTATGTAAAAAATAGATTTTAATGTTTGATACTAATTTAGATGTCTAAAAAATCCACGAAGAACTTAATGTGATGCTTGCTAGCAATTTAAATATTTAACTTTTTTACAAATAATTTAGGGATTTAATATAAGTTAAATACTGTATTTAGTAACACATTCATAGAGAACACATTAAAAAATGTTTTAAATTGTAAAAGTTTGTTTACCCGACCATTAGTACTCTTTTAATATTGTAAAAGACAGTTTGAGTTAAGGTAACATCTTTATCAGTTTGAATCTAATTCATGAATGTAATTATATATTTATATTACTTAAACATTATTTATAGTGGATACCCATATTTGTGCAGATGTTCCATTTATTTATTAAATGCCATATTATTTTTGTTTACTGCCATAGATATTTAAGAAATCTTATTAAAGAAAATGATGCACTCACTGTCAGGATTCAAATTTCCCTCTATCTTGGAAGGAGAAACTGTCATTACATATGATGTCCTTTAGGCCATCTTGGCCATGGAGTGTATAATCAATCAAGTGATGCTGAATGGACTCAGCACATAGAAGAAGAAAAATGATAATTATTTTCTTGATCAATAAATTTCATATTTGAATAGGTTTTGATTTGTTCTCTAAAAATGTGACACTACTTTTTTTATTTATTGATAGTTCACCAAATATAAGACCCAAAGGCCACTCAAGGCAGAAAGTTACTGAGTAAGATTGTAAAGGAGGGGAAAGTAAGAGAGTATTATGAGGAGAAGTAGGATAGCTATTGGTTAATCCTGGATTTAAAGAGTCCAAGATTGTAGTTGTCAGGGAAGCATTCTCTTGGGAGTTTGTTCCACAAAGCAACAGTTCTGAAAAAGAAGCTGTCTTGGTGGAACTTGCTTTTTATTAAAGGAGCACAAAAGGAATGGGGATGGTTTACGATCATGAACACAGCATAGTGTATCCTAACCTGTGAAGGTCCGTGCTTGTGGCACATAGGAATGTAACTCCCTGGGTCAAGTAGAACTTAATGGAAACAATGTGTGCACAAGTGGAAGTACTAAAAAGAACAATGTAAGGTATCCCTAGACATAGCAGAACAAGAATAGTCTACCCCACCCCCATAGATTAAAAAACTATTCAGTTCTTGCAAAGTTACCTAGGTTGATAGACACCTGAAAAAGGCCAATATTTTTGCAATAATAACAATTGTCTGAATGCATATGATTAATTAATCAAATTTGAGAAAATGTAAAAAAATAATTCATAAAGCTAAGTCGATCAGAAATTTTTACTAGGATAAGACTTTTCCTTTGTTTTCTGAATGCAAAAACATTTGTTGCTTAATGTCATTTACAAAATCTTCTGTTGACCAAACTGATGAAGACTTATGGCCAAATCATCAATTCCCGTTCGATCACCAAAGTTAAGCAACTTATAGCCTTGTCAGTACCTAGATGGGTGACCATTTGGGAATATCAGATGCTGTAAGCTTGGATGTGCAGATGATGTAATCAATAGTAACTCAGAATTGTTAATTGGAAAGCCAAGTTCCAATTCCAGTTGGGTTCATTATATTCTCTTAGATACAAATACCCTTGGTAAAAGGATGAATCCACCACTATGGATTAATTAGGAATGCTGAGGGAGATTGTAAGGAAGGGGGAAGTAAGAGAGTATTATGAGGGTGTGTTGGAGAGATACCAGTTGAAATTAAACTTAAAGTGACCAAAATTGTAGTTGTCAGGGAAATAACCTCTTGGGAGTTTGTTCGACAGTTCAGAGGAAGAAACTGTCTGAGTGGAATTTGCTTTTCACCAAAGGAACATGAAGGGAATGGTGATAGTTTGCCACAATGAACACAAAGAGATGGGTTCTAACTGTGAAGGTCTGAGCTGGCAGCACTAAAGAATGTAACTCATCCAAACATCTGCTATAGTAATAATATCATAGCAGGGAAAGTCTGGCAATGTTTTATCTGTGGGATAAGGGCTGCAGGGTGGAGAATAATTCATCACCCACAATATACTCTGCCAAGGCTGGACAGTGAGGACTGGGCAGCAATACTCTGTTCTTGGTCTGAGCTGATCTTTATAAAGATAGATCATAGCAGTGGGAGTTAGATATTATCTCAAGCAATAAAATGAACTGACCATTTTTCTAGTGTCTTTTGCACAAGTATACACATTCCATTTGAGGTTGGGAGTGAGCTTTGGCCCTAGTAGGGGTTTGAGGCATGAAGCCTTTTTGAGGGTATAACCACTCATCTGGATTTGTGCAGGTTTAAGGTCTGCTCGGTGTGGATGAAATGTTTTTAGTTTAGTTTTTGATGTGAATATTAGCCAGTCTTTTCCCCATTGAGCTGTGACAATTAGGTCAGAAGAGAGATCAGCTGCTAGGCATTGGTCATCAAGATATTTAGAGGTGTACCCATACACTATAGTATCATCTGCATATATATTTGCTAAAGATCTGAGACTGATCTTGGCCAGATCATTAATATAAAGTGGGAAGTGGATAGGACTGAGGAGAGAACTTTGGGAGACACCAGCATTGATCTTATGCTTTAGAGGATTGGCCATTAATAACAACCTTCATAAACCTAACTGATAGAAAAAAACTTCATAACTTAAATGCATAAACTCTGATCATCCAAAACATCATGACTAAAATGACAGTCCTTGAACATAATCATAATTTAATGTATCATTTTGATGCATTAAATTCCATGGTTATAGGAAAGGAGAAAGAGTTAAGGGACTTTGATAAAGGTCAAACTGTTATGGCCATAAGACTATTTCTACAAAGGACTGGAAGTGGTGAAGAGCCATGATCGCCTACAGAGGGTAACAGTGAGCTACTTTCCTAATGAGTTTGTGTGAATGGATAGCAGAACAGGGACAAAGAGGGATGGTAAAGAGTCAAATATTGCTTAGAGCTACAAGGAACTGGAAGTGGTGGAGAGCCATGATCACTCACAGAAGGATAGTGGGTAACAGTGAGCTTCTTAAGTAATATGTTTTTGTGAATAGATAGCAGAGCAGGGACAAGCAGGGATGGTAAAGTTCAAACATTGCTTAGAACTACAAGGAACAAGAAGTGGTGGAGAGCCATGACCATTCATGGAAGGATAGTGAGCTTCTTAAGTAATGTGTTTATGTGGATATATAGACTATTTCCAAAATAGCACAGTTTGTGAGTTGGCTAATTTAAAATCCAGCAGACATTAACAGCTTCAATACAGAAAAAGAAAACAACTTTCTGGCTATAGTATATTTTTTTCTTTTTTTTTTTTTAATCATTTCCCTCCAAGCAAGGTAATATAGCCATTAAGACATAAAGGGTTACCGTGTATGAAAGAATCTTAGGGAAAAATATTATTAAGGAAAAATAAAAAAGAAACAGGTATGAAAACGATAGAAAATGACAATTAACATTACATTAAAATTTTTGAAGATCAAAGGTGACTGGAAAGTAAAAATCCAGAAGTATGTTAAACTTATTTACATCCTGTTCTTCAAAAATTCCATTATCTCCATAAAAATGAATACTGCAAACAAATTTTCTGTTTGAATCTCTGGCTCTAATAAGTCTCCGTTATGTATGAGGGTAAAAGAAATATAATTTTCTAATGATTTATTTTAAATTGTATTTGACTGATTTCCCATATCCTGGCAACCATTTTCAGATCTGGAAGAAGAAGAACCTTGTGATGGGAACATGCCGCTTGTCAACCCCCTGACGGGCCAAGAATACAATTGCTTCAATAATAAAAATATATGTCCTCCGGGAAGTTATTGCCATAAGCGATCAACGTTTGCAAAATGTTGCCGTGAAGGTAAGCACCACTTTTAACATTTTCCACAGTATTCTAGGTGTTTGCAATGTTAGTAGTTCCAGAATAAGTTATTAATTGTGAAAGATTATTCTATTTTCTTTGTTCATTGCTATTTTCAGCCAGACTTTTTCTTATCAAATATTTTTTTAAATATTCAAGTGTTATGTCTACAATAAAACATTTCCAGTTCATTTTTTTTTATTGATGAAGAGTAAAATTTTAATAATGACTATAGAAAACTTACTATAGATATCAATAATAATCATCATGCATTTTTAATAAATCATTTACAGCACTTTCTCTATAAGCTAGCACTTGTAATGCAATTTCTAGAATATTAGACATTGGCTTTTCAAACTGTTGCATTAAAAATCTTTGACAAATACAATTTCTATTTTAATAAATCTTGGGCAATGCTATTGCAATTTATATTAAAATCATTGGCTAATACAACTGCTATAATAATCCTTAACTTTTTTTAATCAAATTCACCCCAAGCAAGGCAGTAAAGACACTAAGACACAACGGGTTACTGGGTGCGGCAGAATTAGAAAACAAGCATTACTAAGGAGTGAGAACAATAGAAGAGTAATCAGGAATATAGTAGATAGCAGTTGACATTGCATTTAAATTTTTGAAGATTAAAGTTGACTGGAAAGCATAGAGGTGGGAGAGAGTTCCACAAGTGAGAAGTGCAAGAAAAGAAACTGTTGGCATAGAATTTAGAGTTACATCTAATCAAGTCAACTGTAAATTGATGAGACCTTGTTGCCAGTTAATAAAATCTATGTTGCTATAAAAAAATACTTAGGGAATAAAATTGCTATAATAAAAATCATTAATGTAGTTGCTATAAAAAATAATCCATGATAATTGTAACGGCTATAGTAAAAGTGCTTGACCAATGCAATTGCTATAAAAAATAATCCCTGGTGATTGCAGTGTTAGTGAATACAATGTCTCTAGCAAAAGTACTTAACCAATGTAATTTTTATTATGATAAATCTCTTGTATGTGCTTTTTTCATTATAAAACTTATTACTTACTGGAGTTTTTTTATACAAAAAATATGGAAATACATATTATTCATATAATTTATAATTTTTATTATATTGTCTATTGCAAAATTCATATAGTAGATGGGATTTTACACTCATGAGATAATTTAATATCTAAACACAAGATTTAATTTAATATTTTATTGTCAAAATGTTTGTAAAATATTTTATGCTTTGGTCACTCACAGTAAAACACTAAGTTGTATGTTGTTTATAGAAAAAACACAATGTTTGTAATTTAAGAATTAATCAATAAAAAAGATTTTTTCTACTTAAATTCTTCAATCTGTTTTTCTTGTCACTGTCATGAAAAAAGAGCTTGATGACAATTTCTATTTCTAGGAAATTTGTGTACGGAATATCTTTGGCGACATTCTTTTTTGTCATGATCAAATTTTGTCTTAATCAAATGGAAATGGAAGAGAAACACTTAAAGAAGAAACATTAAGATAATCTACATTAGTTTGTTACTACTTTGTCCATAAAATGGTGGAAAATTATTTTTGATTTTAAACCAAATGTAGTTCGGCAGATGAGTCAAATTAGCAATAAACTCAAACATACTGAAAAAATATTTTTCCTTATTTTTTGTCAGTTGTTGACAATTTCTAAATGAAAAAAAGAATAAGAGATATCTGGCTAAAAATAGCAATTCTTTGTATGTAGATGTTTTTTCTTTCATTTATTTTTTTTCCTTCAGTTGATATTCTTGTCCAATTAGTTCTGGGTAATAATAGCCGCCATATTTTTTCAGTTGAAGTCTTGCTTTCGTCTTAGCTATTGTAATTTTACTTTCTGTTGCAATTAAAATCATCCACAGTCCACTGTTCGATGTTGGGAAAATTTTTGTATGAAATCGCATAACAAAAATGGTAAAGAAATCAATCAAGAAAAATAACAAAAGTAGTATATTCCTGAAAATGCATAATCTTAGAATCTTGGAATAAGAATATTACTATTGTGCAGAATAAATCCACTTACCTTCAAAAAGGGTGAGGGTGTGAACATACCAATGCCATTGGTTCCATGATACAAACAAAAACTGAGGCAGACTCATTCTGTCACTTATAATAGAAAACGGTTGATAGAATAGCCCAAATGCACTACTTATAGGGTTGCTGGAATAACCTGGATGCATATGTGTAACACCATATCATTTGACAAGCACCTCACCACCATAAGATTGGGTTTTTATTTCATGTCTTTTTAGCTTTTCCTCCAGATTTTATTTCTCACTAGCAGGAGAGCCCAGTGTTGCCCGGGGATGTAACAGTAAGAGATAGATCAAGTATCGACCATCATAAAGACTGAAAAATAAAATTGACAAAGATTATTGTTTAAGGTTGACAGACATGCATGTCTTAATTAGTTTTTTTTTTTGTTTTTTTTTACAAATTGGTCAAACCCAAACTCAAACAAAAACATTGTTTTCAATCGTTATGAGTCTACCGATTGAATAAAATTTTATTATAAACAATTGTCCTGTAAATGGAATTTTTAAAGCATTCTGAATGTAAAAATAAAGAAAAAAGTGTGCAAGACAAAAAGAAACACTACCTGACAAAAAAAAAAGTGAAGTTTTGTTGAAATCGGTTGAAAAATGTAGGAAATCTGATCCCATATATAAGCAAAAACACACACACACACACAAACAACCTGGGTTTTATAATAAGTATAACTTGATATGAGTTGTCCCCCTTTCATTCCGGTGACAGAATCGTGTTTTATCATGTTTTCAAATTGATTTTGTGCAAAAACAATTGTGTTTTTTCCAATTTTTGCGCTGTCAGAACCACCGCAAGGTAATTTTGTGTAGTCCTGTGAAGTTTTGTTTACTTCAGGATGTTGATGATCACTATAGATTAGTGTACTTCCTTTCAATGTTTATAAAGGCATTGGCAGTGAACAAGACAGCAAGAAGAAGAAGTGGTAGTAGAGTGGATTTACAATTATTTGGGTGCACAGCTCTGTGAATTTGTGACAGTTTGCTATATTTTTGCTACACTATAATTATTATTTTAGCTATCAAAATTATACTTAACATCAGGAACAGAGAACTGAAATTTCTAGGGCTCATAATGAGGAATGAAAGCTTGGAAAATTTGATACTCACAGGATAGATTAAAGGCAAGAACAGAGGAAGACAATGCATGACATACCTAGCAAGCCTGAGTAAATGGATGGGTGAGCAAAGTTTGGGAGAGATAACAAAAAGACAATATTTTTTAAGAAGTACAAAGGACAGAAAATTGTGGAGAGCCATGATCATTAATGTACTGAAGTAGACAGCACAAAGTAGTAGAATTTAGCAATATAATGAGAAATAAAATCTGGAGGAAAAGTCAGTAGAAAAAAAGACATGAAATAAAAACTCAATCTTATGATAGTTGGCGAGGTGTCTAATGATATGATGTTACACCTGAAACAAAAACATTCAAGTTCTGTTCACAGCTCCTCTTAATTCTCTGATATAAGAGTGAGATCTTAATTATCAGGGAGATTAAATTTTTCTCAATATAAAATAAATGGGTGGGGGAATCATTTAAAGTGTTAAAAAGTGTGAAATTAAAAAAAATTCCTAAAAAAAAGATTAGATAAATGTCCCTCCCTGTCTATTAAGCAGTTTAGAGTATGTCTTTTGTGTCACATTGTCAAAGTGAAATTAAAAGCAGAAAAATAGCACAATTAAAAACAGTAAATAAACAAATAAGTGATATGAATGAAAGAGGTGCTCATAAGAAGTGAAGATTATGAAGGTAAGAAGGATAGATAATTATTAACACTTGATTTGAAACTGTTATATTGTAGATAAAGCAAAAGAAAAGTATTATCAGACTGATCTACCCTACTTACTAATGATAAATACCTTTATAATAAACTGATGCATATTTTCTTATTGGCATCAAGTAATGCTTCCTGCTACCATAATAACGGAATATCTCATTATGTTAAATAGATGAGATAAAGACTGATGAATATATAAAATCCCACTGTATTTCCTATTATAGAAGAGATATATGATCCCATTTGTTTACCAAGGTTAAGAAACAGTTTGCTTCAACAGTACCAAAAAATTCTGGAAATGGAGAAATAAAAAAAATTATTATAGTTATAATTTTCATGATTTTTTTTTTTTTGTTTCATCATAGTTAAGCAAGAGCAAGTGATTAATAAGAAAATTTATATTAGGGTATCCTAATAACAAAATAAGAAAAATAGAACCATCTACAATTTTCTAGATACAACGTGTGAAAGCACATGTGATACCCTGCCCTCATCAGCCACCAACCAGGGGCGGTAACACAGTTTCATTGGCTAAGACAGCAATTCTTCTTAAAGTTGTTTGCATCTTTTATACTATCTGTATACAGGAATTTTTAAGTGTCATTTTTTTGACAGTGATGTACTGCTGGCCATTTCTAAAGGCAAAATATAAAAGTGCTTTGCCTGTTTCTCTTTATCCCAGATAGAAATTTGCACAAGAAAATCCAAGAAAAGAAATGAAGAAATAATTAATTATATTAGGCAACAACGTCATTAAGCATTTAATCAAGCAGCAAGACAGGCTTTTTCACAATATATTAATTAAGAAGAAAATTAATGATTTTAAAATGACAGTACCTAATTTAAATTTCAAGGGATTTCAATGCTCTTGTGGCTGGGGAGGTGATACTTCCTTTCCTTTTCTCTCACTTTTTTCCTAACAGCATAATGGTTATAAGCATGGACAGTACAATCAGAGAGCTGATTGCAATTTCCTCTTCACTAGTGGCCTTCACTTTCACACAAATGCAAAATACATAAATCTAGGTACCTCTATAAATTCAGTATATGTAAGGTTTAAAATGAATTTTTAAAAATGAAAAAGCTTTCCTGAAGCTTTCAATTTAGCTTTAAATGAAAGCTAAAGGATTAAATTTACTATATCCGGTAAGTAAAATACTTTGGTCTATTTCAGACAGAAATTATATTGATTGAAATAGAGTTGCATTTTTTTCAGTAAAATCAATCACATCAGGCATTTTTTAGACATTCGTAAAAATCTTGCAAAAATAAAATATATATTTCTGAAACATTATTTGAGGAAAATTAGCAAATTTAAAGTTAAGTTAATCTAATTTGAGACAAATATTACTTATTTATAGCATAAAATGTTGTGTACAAGCATTTCCTAACCAAGGGGTCTTGTTTTTCTGACGTGTTAATCCAATTATTGACAGTAGATTGACCACTGAACATGATCATAATTATCTATGGTGTAGCAGGCAACAATTTTCATTAGGGTTTAGTTGTGTTTTTTCTCATAAGTGGGGACAACCCTTAAAACATGTGACCTTTTATTAATAGATTTATCCTTTTTATACAACCATATTTCAGAAATTCTGCATCGATACACATATATAAAAACAAATCAAAATTCTTTTAAAAATAGTTGGGGGTCTTCAGTTTGTAATAAGCTTTAAAATATGATTAGTAAATATAGTTTTACTTAATAACAATATTCCCTAAAAATTATCTCATTGAAATTAAACTTTAAAAGATTCAAAAACTTTATAAATTATTCACTTATAAAAAAATGAAAACAAATCTTGTAAAAATTCATTTTTCATTGAAAAAAATATTTTTTCATCAGACAATACTGTCTTTAATACATATTATTCCTAAAAGCAATTAATTGCTCCTCTAATTAAATAATGTCTTAATTTTATTGTTTTTTATTTTCCAATTCAGAACAGATTTTTGGGTTTGATTTTGTAAAATAAAATTGCTGATTTAAATTCTTCAAAAATTTCTGCTTTTAACTAATATAGTCACTACAAATTATCTCAATGAATTTCTGATGCTTTCATAAAATTAAGTAAAATTTAAACAAGCAAAAAAAATATTTTTAACAAGATTTTCTAAAAATACTTTAAAAAATAATTTCATTCATTTGTTAATAAGTTCTGAAAATTCCATTTAACTTTGAGAATTATTTGATTTTTGCAAGTATTTCCAAATTAAAGTGTCTGTCACTGCAAAAAAAAGGTGAAAATTTGCTATGCTAAAACTGTCAACGCAAGAAAATCAAACTTTTTAATCAAAATTTTGAACATTCTAAAAAGGAGTAAAATATTTAGTAAAATAACCAAAAAATACTTTGATCCTTTCTCTTAATAATAACATAAAGATTTTGACAATAAAACTGTTTTCATTATGTTTGGAGAATGTTTTCATCACAGTATGCTGATTTTTTAGCGATCCCGTGGAGGTACCTACATAAATCCATCTCTTGTTCCCCAGCAGTAGGTTAAGTAGCAGGGTAGACTGAGTTATCTAGCTTTGGGAATTTACAGCCATATCCCATTGAAATACCAGTTCTTGTCTGATCACTGACATTAAGTAATGTCAAACCTGATCAGTACTTAGACAGGTGACTTCCAGGTGCTGTAAGCTTGAATGTGTATTTGGTGTAATAGATAACAGCTTGGAATGAGAAATCAGAGAGCTGAGTTTGCAATCCAGTCAGGTTTGTTATATTCACTTATGTGCAAATATCATTGGGAAAGGGATGAGCTCACCTCTTCTCCCACAACAATGTGTTAAATAGTAGAACTTGTATCTGAAAATCATTATTATCTCTGAAAATTATTACAATCCAAAAATATGTTCCAGCTTTAAATAACTTGCAAAAGGTTGATAAGCCATAAAAAAACAAATTAAATAAAATCTAACCTTGATAAGGTAATAACTTATCTTGAAGGAGGCAAAGAAAATGTTTTTTGGTATAAATTAAATAAATGGAAGATGTCATGGTTGATAGGGGGGGGGGCTTAGAGCATTATTTTTGCTACTGCCTATTGATTGATTGATTCATTTTATATGGCTTATCAACCCATTGCAGGTTATTTAAATGCTGGAAATATTTTTAGATTGTAAGAATTTTAAGTTAATAATGATGTAGTGGTACAAGTCTTACTAATTAACCCATAGATGGGGTGAGAAGAGGTTTATTCATATCTTCCCCAAGGGTATTTGCTTGTAAGGGAATATAACAAACCCAACTGGAATCGGAATTTTATCTCTTTGATTAACAATTCCAAGATATTATCCATTACACTGCTTGCACATCCAAGCTTACAGAACCTGGAATTCCCAAGTAGTCACCAATCTAGGTACTGACCAGGCTTGATATTACTTAACTTCAGTGATCATATGGAAACTGGTGTTTCAACATGATATGGCAGTAAGCTGCTACTATCCAAGGAGATTAAGTACTTATATGATGAATCATAGGATTATAACCAGATCAGATCTTTTATTTTCTGTGCTAACTATTTTGTCAAGACACATTCCCATGGAATAAATATTTCAGTTAAAACCCTCAAAAAGAATGGCAGATGTAAGAACAGTTGAAAGTTGGACAGAAAGTTTAGTGGTTGTCATGAAGCAATAAAAATAAAACCTGCTTTGAAAAAAAAATATCCTACTTAAAAAAAAAAAATGAAACAAACTCAAAAAAATTTAGTGAGGGATTTGTGACTCAAATTTTATGTTGCAGAATAAATGGCAACAAAATGAATAAAAAGAAAAATTAAATACTCTAAAATCCCCAAGTTAAAACCATGTTAGGCACAATTTAAACATTATTTAATTCTCTTATTTCCTTCTAAATCTGATCATCCCTTGTTGAGCAGCAATGGCTTCTCTGTGCAATTGTCGTGCAGCTCAATTGTCCTCTTGAGAGATCAACTTTAAGTCTTGCAGTTTATTTGATTAATGACCAAGTTAATGGTGCAGATGATTGGGTAATTTGGAGTTTAATCCATCCTTGTGGAAATTGCTGGGTGATAAATTCTGATACCACAAAACTTTGGACTGTGGAATTGTTGTTGTGTTAATCTTTATTTGTCAATGTTCTCATAATTTTGCTCTACATTAAAAGAACAATTTGTTCGAATTGGTAAACGCCTGTTTAATCTTTACTTTGAGTGATGAGAAAAGCAAATCCTAAAAGATTTTACAATGAAAATTTTTGGGCTGTCATTCCAATACATCACTGTTAAAATGATTTGAAATGGGCAGATAATTTCTTTTCAAGACACATCAAACTTTTCTTTCTCCCACTTTCCCCATTAAATTTTTCTCCTGTTTTGATTTTTCAAAACTACTTTCATTCATAGATTTCTTGTTTTTTTTTCTCTTTTTTCTTTCACTTGAATTATTTTAAAATCTAAATTAATCTCATTTTATTGAAAGCTAAATTGTTCTATTTAATGTGATACCAACCAATTATAATTTTTTTTTTCTCAAGAGAAAATTGGCAGATGGATAACATTCTCATTATATACACATTAATTTTCCATAGCAAAAGCAAAAAAAAAACATTTAAACTATTTTAAAAAAATATAAGCAAAATATTCCATATAGAACTAAATATGCTTTTGAATTTCTATTTTTATTCCTGAAAACCCCAGCAGAACACTTTTTGTATAGCAAGCCATTCCACACTGCCAAATAAAATGAAAATTACTTCAAAATGAGTCTGAAATTCCAATATAATTAGACCTCATTCAAGATTATTCAATCCACAATTGTGTGCTGCAGCAGTTAATTGTGAGTACCACCATAATCAATTCTATGACTGTATAGTACATGCATCAACGGGGCTATATAGTTTTGAATTCAAAGTTGTCCTTCTCCTAGACTGGTTGCCAACTATGGATAGAGAGCCCAGTCTGCTCTGCTGTTTAACCCATAGTTGATGGATATTTGTGCAAAAGTGGGTGTAATGAACTTGACCAGAGTTTGACCTTGGCTCACCAATTTCCCATTCTAATCTGTTAATGATTACTTCTTCTTCTATGTGCCATATCCCATCAGGACATAAGAGATCATGGCTCTTCACAACTTCCTAGTCTTTGTAGCTCTTAATAAATTGTCTGTTATCTTTTCTAAACCTTGTTTCCCCATCAATTTGCACCAGCTCACCAGGTAGATTAGGTGTTGTTTTCTTCTGTCACCCTTCCTTTCAATCTGCCCTGTGAGTATAAAATTTTCCAAGCCCTCTTTCCTTATTATGCACCCTAGAAATTTCAATTCTCTCTTTCCAAAGTATGTGTCCTTTTCATTTCTATTTTCTCTAAAACTTTGTCATTGCTCATATGTTCGGTCCATGGTATTCTTGGCATCCTTCTGTAGAACCACATTTCTGTTGCTTCAAGTTTCTTCTTTATCTGTGAGTAGATTGTCCAATATTCACTGTCATATAGGAGGACTGATATTAAATAAGATTTCAGCAAAGTATTAAGAAACAAAAAAATTTCATTAGAAAGAAAGAAAGTTTCTAATGAAATTTTTCTGTTTCTTAATACTTTGCTTAGTTCTTGGAAGGCATCTTTAAGTTCAGTACTCTTTCCTTTGCTAATCATTAAACTACATGCATATCATGTGTAGGTAGAATGGGCACAAAAATCATTGCAATGTTGGTAATTTTTCAGTCAGACAAGAAATGCCAAAGCTTTGTAGAAACGAAAATGGAAAAAATGGAAACATGGAAGAACCTAATAAAAAATATTACTTGAAATAAAGTTATATCATGTTTATCCCATTATTTATTCTGATAAGTATCCTTATCTTTGTTGTTTTGATCATGAAATTATTGATGTCTGTTCTCTGGAGATAATGTGAACAAAAAATGTTTTTTTCTTTTTTATCAGCCATATCAAATGTATTTTTGACTTGGTTTTAAATCTATAATTGAATATTTATTTCAACCATACGTCTATTGAGTCAGTAAGTTGTTTTTACAACACTTATTCCCCATTAATTAATTTTTTTTAATTACTAAAATTCACTCAATACAAGACTCAAGAGCCACTCAAGAGAGAGTTAGCATTAAAATGGTTATGATGAATGGGGTGTGATATGAGGAAAAGTGGTAGTAGTAGGAAGTGAAGATTATGTGGATAGAGAGAATATAAAATGATTGATCTACAAAAAGGTTAAGATTATTGTGTTTATGGAAGTATCCATGTTATGTTTATGTTTATGAAAGTAATATGGAAGTATCCACATGAGTTTTTTTCACAAAGTATCAGTTCTTGGGAAAAAACTTTCTGAGTGGTACTTTTATTACTATCTGTCTATATCTTTGAGATGAGGCATTATGATTACTTACATTATTCAGATTGTTATCCTCATCTTCATTGCCATATTAACAATGTTTTGGCCATTGTATGCTCAGGCCTTCTTCAGGTTATTGGAATTTCAAACCGAACCCTTTCTTACATCCACTGGGGTAGATTGTTCTAGTTCCACGTGTCATGCCTCTTCCAGATGTTTCAGTTATTTCAAAGGGAAATAACTCAACTCCCCTTGAGGACACATGGATAAGGACATTGGTTAGATCCATTGACTAGAAATTGTTTTGATCCAGTGACTAGACCCAAAGAGTTATGAGTTCAATACCAGGCCACAGCAGTGGTGAACCAAAACTTGGAGAGTTGAGTTAAAAGAAAATAAGTGAGACATCCGGAAGAGGTATAGCATGTGGAACTAGAACAATCTACCCTGGTGGACACAATAAAGGGTTTGGTTCAAAATTCCAATCACCTGAAGAAGGTCGGAGCATACAACGGCCGAAATGTTGTGAATATGGCAATGAAGATGAGGATAACAGTCCAAATAATGTAAGTAACTTTCATTACATTTGAAATATGAGGGAAATGAGGCTGATTTGACTCTGTGGAAGCAGCATGATCAAAGCGTATAAACTGTTATTTCAGAGAGTATGAAACTGATTTTTCTAAACACATTAGCAACATCATTTATTGACATTCCAGTTTCCTTTCATGTCATTCCCTTTATTAATGTAAATCTTAACACCCAAATCAATATTAGACTTTGTACAACTTTCTTGTGTTTTCTTTATGGCCAATAATCTTGTATATTTCCTGCTAGCATCAGTGATTAATTTTCAAGCCTGTCTAGGAAAGTTGCTTCACTATGTCGTGTTTTTCACTTGAATCTATCATATATTTAAAGTCTACCATTCATCAATGCTTAGAATATTGCTGCCTTATATGATGTGGTGCTCCTGCTATATATTTATAGATTCTTGATAAATACAAAGAAGAATCTGCAATGTCATTGGTTCTGAATTGGCATCTCGGCTTCAGTCAGTTTTCCGCTTCCATAATGTAGCTTTCTTATGCCTTTTCTATAAATACTTCCATGGTAATTGTTCAGATGAACATTCCTTTAAGGTAATTATAATCATTGTAAATAGTCATTGGAGTTTCATTTTTAAAAGTTGTTATTTTTATCGCCCCCCCCTTACAGACTAGTTGTACATATGTGAACTAATTAGTATTATGGTAGCTGTAGTAAGAATAGTAATTAAGAATGTTTTGATTTGGTATGAGGAATACTGTGGTATGTTTAGGTGAGTAATCTTGGCTAGCTAAGTTTAAGATAAGACAGATTGAAGACCAGCCTTCCTCTAGCCACCCTTTTGGCCTTGTGCCACATTTTTGTATTTTCCAAATAAATATTACTTTCTTCTATGGTACCTAGACTTTATGAATTTAAGTACAGTACTAGATTGGCAGAAAAATCTCATCATTTTACATTTCAACTGGCTAGATGAAACTGTAAGTTCTATATTAGCAATTTCTTTTCTTGCATTTTTTGCTTGTGTTACTCTCTTCTGGCTTTTTTCCATTTAAATGCAATGTCAATTTTTATCTTCTCTCTTCTTAATTTCTGTTCTCTTGCTGTTCTTGCTCCTTAACAAGGATTTTCTTTTTCTTATATTCATTAACACTCAGTAACTACCCCCACCGCATGTTAGTGGCTTTGTTGCCATGGTTGAGCTGAAATAAAAAGGTACATCACTAGGTTTTCAAGAGCAGTAGAAAAGTTCTCTCCATTTGAAAGATTGGTACAACACAATCTTCTCCCCCAGTTGACTCATGTCACACAAAATTAAGATTATTAAATATCGATAATAATTATTTTTTTGTGCTTGATGACTCAACTCATAAGTGTTACTGAGAGGTTTTAAAATAATATTTTAGTTTTTTAATGAATCTCTAACACAACTGACAAGGACCTTTAGATTCAAATGTTGAAATTGTAAAGCCTTACCTTAAGACTTAAACTGTCACTTGTTGCAAATAATACATCTCGACAATATGTCTTTAAAAATTTTTATTTTCTTTGTGATTTGTAAGCATAAAACTGACTTCATGTCAGCAGAAATTCTTAAACATTGAGTTTTTATTAACCAACAGGCAAACTATCTTAAAGGTTATTTTTATGTTGTACCTTATGGTGTATCTTCTTGGAGAGTTGAAGAGAGGAAGGTTGGTTTGGGATTTGTGGTGGAAACCATTACTGGACATAAAACCTAGCCTCTCTGTTTATACTGATATCTCTTGAGACTGAGTGTTTCCTACTCCCGTCTTTGCCTCCTGGCACTACTTAGCACTGATTGTCTGCAATAGAAAATTCTTGTGCCTATTCATAGAAACTATTGAGGCTGAGATAGAGTTGGGTAAATGCACCAACTTGACTTTTTATACTGACATTTATTTCTCACATATCCAGTAAGATGACGAAATCCAAGCAGTTCCAGTTCTTGGAGTTGGTGTGTCTTTCCTTCACACTAAATATCAGAGACATGTCTTCAATTCAGCACTTACATCTTTTTTTTCATTTTTAAATCAATTCTAATTGTCAAGATTGTATTTCTGGCTTTATTTCATTTTATTTACTGTTTTTAAGAGATCGGTTTTTCAGTGACATTTCACTCAGACACGCTTCTGGTCATTGTAATTTCATGAAGTTTTTATTTCTGGCTGACTTTCATTGTACATAAACTTCTCTAAGTTTGATTCCACTTGATCCCAGTTTTCCTTCAGATTTAACACAGTAAACTTTCAAAGCACGAGATTTCACTGGGTTATTTCAAGAAAATAATTCCAGAGATAATGGTTAGATTAATCGACAAGAAACAGTAAGGTATATGTCAGTCCCAGGCAAACTGCAGTCTGCGAGCGATATGCAACCCATTTCACTTTCTGAATAGCACACCTAATTTCATGGGAAAAATAATGTTTATTAAAATTTAGTTTGTCTTGCTTCATTCTCACTTATTCTCTCACACACTTTCTCACACTAAAAGAGGTTTGGGAAAGCTGGTGTCAAAGGGGAATAACTAATACCTGACTAACCTCACTTAATTATTAATGTCTGTTGCATTGTGGATAGTTTGACTGAACCACATAGTTTAAATAAAATGGTTCTGTTGCAACCTTTCATTAATGATAACATTTTCAGCATGTTAAAGAATATCATGCCTGTAAAGATAGTTTTAAAAACAAGAAAGATTCATATTAGTTTTTTCTCTGGAGAAGAAATATGTATTTTTTTTAAAATATTTTTAATATGAGCAATTAAATTAAAAATACGTCACATGAGGCAGTATGTGTTAAACACACTATCATCAGTGATAATCTTATACCAAGACTTCAATTTTTAAATTGCAGGAAAAAATATTTTACACAAAGGCAAAAAAAATCAACTTTCCCCTATTTCTAAAGCATAGATTTAAGCGTATAGTCTTCTGTAGTATAATTAGCTGAGTTACCTCTAACACAAATAAATTACCTTGAATTCTTTAGTAATGTGACCCACCTTATGATGAGCCATATCTCATGTGGCCCACTGATCAGAAAAGGTTGCCTATGTCTGGTCTACATATTGATTCTCACTATTACTGACAATGGAAAATAACCTATTGATCGAAACATATACAGGATCAACTGGAAAAAGTCCACTTGTTTAGACAGTTCAATAGATACATTAAAGTCTATATATCAATCCCAAGCAATTATGGCCACTTCTCTTATATGGTTAGAAGATGCATAAATGAATAGTTAAAGCCAGGGACTTGAGGTTATAAGATCTGTGATTCAACCGGATGAACACATTAAAATGTGATGGTGTGTATTAATAGGTTATATGTAGAGGTCTATAATTAATACCAGAAGTTTTATAACCCTATAAGTAATACTGGATATTTATAAGCTGTATTTAATAGCAGATTTTTGTAGGACAAAGAGACAGAGTGTGTATAGGAATCAAGACTGTATAGTGACTGTCAGTTTCATGCTTAATGCAATTTTCAGACCAAATCTGAAACTGACAGTCACCATGCAGTGTTGATTGCTATGTCCACACTGTCTATATTTATAAATGCTCTATTTCTGAAAATGAGCAGTCTTACCCTATAAATATAGCAAATTTTAACACACACACACACACACACACACATGTATATATATGATGTGTTTCAGCAGCAAGGAATCTTTCGAACATGTTTAAATAGACAGAACTAGTCAATATCCTTCCATCTAACATATATTGAAATATATATATATATATATATATATATATATATATATATATAGCAACAAATAAAATGAAATATTCAACTTACCTGTCCTGACTCTGAGTTTCATAAAGATAGTATATTTGAAAAACTGTGAATAAGGACAGATAAGTAAACATTTAAATTTATTTTAGTATAAATGACCCATTTCTTGCTATTAAAAGCATTAACTACAAATTAATTAAAATACACTGGTTAATATTTTTTCATAATCTGTTTTATATATATATATATATATATATATATATATATATATATATATAGATACACCTAGTGAGCCAGACAAACCTACCTAGGTTTCACCTAAACGGATCGTCAGGGAAAGCTTGGCTAACGAGGCAAATAGAAACACACATATTTATAGGTGATAGCTAAAATCATACCACGTGACAAAAAAAAAAAAAAAAAAAAAAAATATATATATATATATATATATATATATATATATATAAACAAAGTCAACAGAAACAATGGATTGATAGCCTTATCAATAGAGTAAATAGCCAATGACATAATAGAGCTAAATTTATTTTCAATAGAGCAAAGATTCTTGTCATATCAATAGGTACCTGAAAAATTTACTTTTGATATCATTAGCTAAGTAATGACATTTGTGGTAAGTGACTAGTAATCAAGAGACAGCTCACATCTTAAGTGTGATCAGTTTCTTTATTGACAAATTCTTTTATATGAGTTAAAGATTTAACTTCAAATTCATAAGAATCCAACAAAATTCACCTGGTGTCAATATCTCCAGGGTTTAATTATATCTCTTCTTGTAAAAATCAATCTTTTGGCTTCATTTTGTCATTTAATGTTAGAGAAATCTTAATGTGTATGTACTGTTGACCATTGTCCAATCTGAGATGCAGCCAATTTGCAAATGGTCATTTCATGGTTTGGCACTAACACAGACTAACTGATAAACACTTTTCAACTGCTGGCTGATAGCCAAATACTGATGAACTTACTTACTGACCTCTGGCTTTTATCTACTTGATCTTTAGCCATCACTTTTAGATAGATTCCTTTTGTGTACACACTGAAAATATCTTTGTTCAATCAGGCAATTGTCAGTTTGAAATCACGCTTTCTCTTATACATTTGACGAACTCACTGATAGGGTTGGGTGTCACGACTGACGGACAAATAAAGACATACTTTTCTATTATGCTTTCAAGGTCTAACATTATTCTTTATTCGGTCATCTTCCTTCCCTTCATATTCCATTAGTAAGAAAGAAGTTCCTTAGCTTCTTCCCTACAAATGCTATTTTGCAAAGCAAAATCCCAATAGAATATTTTCCTACCCACTACAATCTTAAATTCATCAAGTCACAGGTTAACTGTCCTACATAACCTCATAAATTTCTTACTTCCTCTTCTTACACTCACACAACATAACTCATTAACTTTCTACCTTGAGTGGCTCTTAGGGATTGTACTAGGTGAACATTAATAAAAATTGATGGTTCATTCAACAGTGCAACACCAGCACAATTATGTCTGATTTTCATGTCATAATTTTGAATTTCAGTGATGGATTTTCTGTCCTTTGCTAAAATACTTTTTAGACATTTATATTTTTTGTACTTAGAAAGAAAAATCTTCTTTTTTTTCTACTGTTCATGATCCATTAGAAGCTAAACTTTTCCTTTTTTATGGAGAGCCTGCAGAAGGGGAAGTAACTCTACTTACAGTTTTGTAATTTTCATGCATGATCTATAATTTGAACATCTATTCCAAAGTAAAGATTAACAGGTTTGTGAAGTAAACAGTTACATATATTTACTGTATATATTCTCATATCATGGAACCTTTGAAAGCCTAATTTTGAAGCTAATTTGACTACAGTAAATGGATATATAGTTTGGTCAATGGTGTAACCAGAGCCAGCAGTATATACACTAATTTTATATCTTGTGTAAACCCCTTAAAATTACTTTCAAAATTAGGTCTTCGAAAGTTGCATGACATGCGAGTATATATGGTATATTAAATATTCATGTCTTTGAAAGAAGACAAAACAATATTTTTATTCCGGTAAAGGAAGTTGAAAACACAAAAACCAAACACCTAAAATTATGAATGTTGTCATTTTGTTTAGCATTTGTTGTTTTGCTTACTGGCTTAGTTGCATGAGCATGACTGTGATTGTCTTTTGTTGTCTTTCTTTGAAATAGTGATTGCAGGTTGCAATGACACACCTTTTGGCTGCTGTGAGGACAATGTGACAATAGCCAAAGGTTTCCAGCTTGCAGGCTGTCCAAGTAAGTTCATTATTCTACCAATCAACCATTTTCTTTTCAACAACTTGTTCTAAAGTCATGATGATGATGAAAATAATCATTGAAATATTAATAAACTTCACTTTTGATAATCAAAAATATGAATATTTTAATGTTTTTTGTTAGGAAATATTTTGTTCTTTTATGCCATGTCTCAATTCTTGTTAAATGCTTTTCTTCCAATACTGATCAATGCTGCCAAATAACAGGTAAGGTTGCTTCACCATCTTTTTTAATCAGCACACACAGACAACTGTTTTAGTAATAAAAAGGAATAAGAATTTTATAAAGTCATCTGCACACTATCAATTACTCACCTCCAATGTGAGAAGACATTTTCAAAGCTAAAGATCATAAAGACAAGGTTAAAAAATTTGCTGTTTGAGGAGAATTTGTAATCCTACATATTTCTATCTATTAAAAAGGAATTGTTAGATGAATTGGATGTAGTGATCTATTGAACACATATAACTGAACTTAATATAGTGAACTCTATGCAATGCTCTATTGTGCTTTTGAACTATCTGTTAATGTAAACTATTTAAAAATATCTATCAAGTAGTTAAAATTAAAAAAATGAATAAAAATTTAAATTATAACATGCTGTATATTCATTTGGTATCTACTACTAGTAATATGTGCAGTACATGTACCCTGTAATATGTGCAGTACATGTACCCTGTAATATGTGCAGTACATGTACCCTGTAATATGTGCAGTACATGTACCCTGTAATATGTGCAGTACATGTACCCTGTAATATGTGCAGTACATGTACCCTGTAATATGTGCAGTACATGTACCCTGTAATCACTAAAAAGTACACAATTTTTTCACAAAAATAATTTATATCATTTTTTTTCATGTGTATTTTTTTTATTTTATTTATTCATTATGAAAATTAAATGAGAACATTTAAGTTGTAGGTGGGCCCCATTTGTCTCCTGGAAATCATTATTTTAGACCCAGTCTGTCACTGTTTAAAAAATATACAAAATATAAGTAAAACTTGAAAAAGTCAAAGTAAAAACGTAATGTTCTTGCTGAACAACAAATATATATATATATATATATATGGGAAAAACAGTTATGTTGGTGTGACCAACAGACAACTTGCCAGAAGACCTAACACCTTAGACAATAAAAAAATCCTGAACAGAGAAAGAAAAATGAATGAAAGACTAAAAGGCAAACAATGGCCTTCTTAGTAAAGCTGCTAAACACTCAGCAAAAAGAAAAGCTTCAACACTTGATAAAGGACAGCCCGAGTCAATACACAAGTATCATGCTCGCACAATCTTCAAACAACTAAAGTTTAAATAAATTATTTTCAGCTGTACTTGTAATTGAGTTTGTAGATAGTATTATATATCTAGTTTTATTAAGATTGTAGATATTGTTCTTTCTTCTCTTTTGATAAATTTGATGAATTTCTATTGATACTATTACCAAAAAATAAAATCCAAAATAAGATCACTTAGAATTTGTAGCCCTCAATTATATATAAAATGAAGTGAAATACATTAGAAGTACTTTTAAGTTCTTCTAATATATTAATTATTTTATAATTAATGTATAGAGGAAAGTTCATCAAATTCATAAAAATGAAAGAATAATACAAATAATCTTTAAAAGGCTAGACACATAATAATACCTACCAACAGAACCATGGCTACAATATTTATTTACACTATTTACAGTGTTCAGATTGTTGTTTTCATCTTTATTGGCATATTCACAATGTTTCGGCTATTGTATACTCCTGCTTTCTTCAGGTGTTATACATTGGAATTTCAAACTGAACCCTTTATTTCACCCACTGGAGTGGATTGTTCTATTTCCCCATGCCATGCCTCTTCCAGATATCTCAGTTTCAGGTATTTCCCTTTAGTAACTCAACTCTCAAATTTTTTGTTCACCTCTGCTGTGGCCAAGTTTTGAACTCACAGCTCTTTTGGTCAAGTCACTGGCTTATATCCACTGGGACATGTGTCCTTGAACAATTTACCTAAGTGGATGAAATAAAGGGTTTGATTTGAAAATCCAGTGTATATCACCTGAAGAAGACTAGAGTATACAATGTCTGAAATGTTATGAATATGACAAAAAGATAATGATATTAAATTGCTCTACAGGTTTGATTTTTTTTCTTCCTTGAAATTGAGCACTTTAAACACATACAATTTTAAAACCACTATTTTAGTTATTTTAGTGTTTATTTTGGTCTGTATATATATATATATATATATATATATATTTATTAAAGACATTTTTATGTTTAACGTTGTTATTTTTTATAGATACAAGTATTTAAGCAAATGCTCTGTTTATGATAAACAGTATTAAATAACATTTACCAGCCTGAATGTCCGAGAAATTTTCATAGAAAATATTCGTTCTATGAAAATTTCTCGGACATTCAGGACGCTAAATGTTATTTAATACTGTTTATCATAAACAGAGCATTTGCTTAAATACTTGTATCTATAAAAAATAACAACGTTAAACATAAAAATGTCTTTAATAAATAAATTGTCGGACCTTGTCCATTTCTTAATATATATATATATATATATATATATATATATATATATATATATTTGTTTATTTTGGTCTGTATTTATATATATATTTGGATTCGAGAATAAAACAGAATTTACCCCCAGGATTTTGAATCCATCCTCCAGGAATAGCCAACTGACTAACAGTTCTGGTTCTGCTATTGCTGAACATTTAATAAATAGAAGGAAATGTGTGGAAAATTTTAGTGCTGACCGATTTATAATTTTATCTAGGTCCCACTCCACATTTCACCTCAAGGTTCTAGAGTCTTTGTATATCAGATCCTGTGAGCCTTCCCTTTGTAAACAGAGGGAATGCTTCCTGGGTCTGAATATTATTGGACTCTAGTTTCTTGAAATTCATAATTTTTCTTTTTTTTTCCCCATTCCATTACATTCCATTACATTTGTTAATTTAAAATTAATTTACATGCTTTTTTAAATTCCCAGAATAAATAAACTTGATAAGTCCTGGAATGAAACCGGTTGTTTTTATTTTAGCTTTTGCTTTTAAAAAATGCCTTATAAATATTGTCTTTTCCTATCTATTATTAAATTCTGTACCATGAAAAACTTATTTATATATATATATATATATATATATATATATATATATATATATATATATATATAGACATGTTGGCTCCTATAAGAACCTGTCCACCATTTTAAATGATTATAAATAATTATTAAGTAATAAAATATATAAAAATAAATATAAATTGTCCAGATTATTTACTTTGTCTTTCTGTTTGAAAATATTTAAAAATTTGTCATTGTTTATATATTTTCTTAATTTCTAATACTTAAAGATTTTGTTTTAGTAGAAAAAACGTTCATTAGTGCATCCAATTTCATTTTAATTAACTTCTTTTATTATTGACAAGGAATGCAAAGCCTGTAAGAAATATACTACTAAAATCTTGACTAGAAATTTAAATGAAAAATGTGATGAATTCTGAAAAGCAAGTTCTTTACAGAAAGTTTCATGGTCGTTCCTCTGAAAACAGACATTTTGTCTTGTCTAACTTTGTATCAAATGACTCAAACAGATTCAGGGTTAGCGTTTGTTGCAATATTTGTTTTAATTCTTTGTATCTCTTTTTCTTGTGACTCTTTGTCCAAATTTGTATGTAACGGAATTGCGTGTCTGTGTCTCTTTTCCATAATTTCCTCCATAAAACAGAGACAATTATTTTTTGTCTGAGGTCATTCAGCTTTGCCATTGTTACACTATTCTGCCAAGACATATTTACACTTTTATTTCTCGTCTCTGGGGAAATGCATACAAAGTGAAGTCTCTAGCTGACAAGATGATTTCCAACTCAAAGTTTCTTGTCCTTCAATTCTATCGAGCCATTTCCTACTAATGCCAGGTGCACTATCTTTGCTTTCTGTTGTCTTCTTTCCTTTCCTATTCCTCCTTCCTTTACAGTAATGTGTATTTCTTGCGGACACCTTTCAAATAACATTCTCTGCCATAATAAAACCATTTCCAGAGAGTTAAAAAGAGAGAGATGAGGTAGATAACTGAGATCAATGGTTGTTTTGTGTCATACAATGGTTAGCATCAAAATATTGCATAACTTGGAGGTGGAAGGTAAAAAATTGAAATAAGGTTATTATGAAATATCAGAATCAAGCAAATATAGAAGTTTAACTATCTGGGAAATGTCCTAACAGATTATGGTAAATGTGACAACGACATCTGAAGACATACTGGAATAGAAAAAGATGCCTTCCAAAACCTAAACAAAGTATTAAGAAGCAAGAAAATCTATTAGAAACAAAGAAAAGAGTATTGAACTGTTATGTAATTTAAGAACCTCCAGTGAATACTGGACAATTTCCTCACAGATGAAGCAGAGACTTGAGGCAAGAAAGATGCCATTCTACATAAGGATGCTAAGAATATTATGGATGGAATATGTGAGCAATGAGGAAGCTTTTAAAAATGGAAACAAAAAAGACATCAGAAAGAGATAGTTGAAATTTTTAGGACATGTAATGAGTGCTTGGAGAATTTAACACTCACAGGACGTAGTAAAGGCAAGAGGGACAGAAGGGAAATAGAAAGTAACTGATTTAACAAGTTTGTATAAATGGATGGAAAACCAGGAAAGATGCTAAGTGTTACAATGGATAGGAAGCTGTGAAGAGCCATAATAGCCAACAACATGAAGGGACATAGCATGTAAATGAAGACCGAACTCCCTCTATGAGTTCTACTGACAAAGGTGGCAGTGTTTGCAACTTCTTTGATAGCTTTCTATAAACAATCCATGATGAACAAAACTTACGAGAAATTCATTTTATTTTTGAGCCCTTTGCTCTTTAGTCTTGAAAAACACTTGTTCACACTATTTGATTCATATTTTGTTACTAAATTTAATTCTAGAACCAACAGATGTTTGGTGGATTTCAAATAGTAAAAATTTAGTCTCTTGTAATATGAATGCCTTACAAAGAAGATGGGTAGATAAAGAATTTGGGGGCTGTCAGTGCAGAAAATAAAACCCGTAAATTATGTTCAAGGTCTGATTATACGAGGTGCTGGTGAAAAGTTCTTTGCAAGATGTTCTTCCATAAAGAGTTGATAACTGATCATTTGGTTAGATTTTGGCAAGTAGGTCAGGCTAAGATCTTTTCAACAACTCTTTATAATACTTGATATCACTTACATATTAATGATGTCTCGGGCAATGCATCACTTGAATTTTCCCTTTATTCTTTTTCATAATTTTTATAACTGACATGTCACAGTGAAGAAGATGATGCCTAATTATCATTATAATCCAGCAAAAGATTGATTGATTCTTTCTTTCATTTTCTGTACTTTATCATCACTTTTCATATTATTTCAAGCAGGAAATTATTTTTAGGTTCTAAGAGTTAATGATGATTTAGTAATACAAGTCTTATTAATTAACTCATAGCTGGGGCAGAATAGGTGAATTCATATCTTTCCCAAGAGCTTTTGCACATAAGTGAATATAATAAACCCAAATGGAATTCAAATTCAGCTCTCCCATTAAAAATTCTGATCTATTATCCATTACACTCCCTGCACATCCAAGCTTACAGCACCTGGTATTACTAAGCAGTCACTCATCTAAGTACAAACCAGGCTCGAAGTTGCTTAACTTCAGTGATTGTATGGGAACCAGTATTTCAATATGATGTGGCCATGAGCCCCAGCAAAAGTTTCCTAAAATTAAAATTAATATATTTGTAAATGGATCTCTGTTCCTTACTATTTGGGCTTATAAGTCATTCAGGTATAGGGCACCCCCTTCTCTCGCACTGTACAAAGATTAAAATTCCTTTAGAAACCAAAAAGATGAAATTGCTTTCTATACACCTATCATTTGGGATGTATTCTTTACTAGATTTTTTACAGTGGGGAGGGTCTCAATTTTTACAGCAACCAAAGTCCATGACTTCCAAGTGAAACATAAATTAGATCAATTTCAAACTGCTTCTTTGACTGATATGTTTTTTACAGTTTATCAACCCTTTACAGGTTACTTAAAGCCAGAAAATATTTTTAGATTGTAAGAATGTTTTTATTTTTTAGAAAATAATGGTTTAGTGATACAAGCCCATAGCTGGGAGGAAGGTGAGGTGGATTCATGCCTAAACAGAATTTGATAAACAATCCAGAAATTATAGTGTGGATATAAAGTGGGGGATCAATTCTATATTAAAATCAATACAAAAAATGATCCCTCAGTTTGTGACTGCAGTAGTTTCTATAAATTTATATTCCAGAGAATGGAAATAAATCTCAAAGACATACCAGTGTAGCTATTCAGTATTTGATTGATTGGTCCATTTTCTACAGCTTATCAACCCTTTACTGGATATTTAAAGCCAGAAAACATTTTTAGATTGTATGAATGTTTTGGAGATAATAATGATTTACTGATACAAGTCCTAATTGAGCAAAATCAAAGAGAGATTTTTACATGGCTATTTGTGTGGATTTGATTTTTGTGGACAAATCTGTGCAACAGAGTAGCCCACACACTTCTTAGCCAGAAGTTCTACTATTTAACTCACAGTTGGAGGGATAAGAGGTGGATTCATACCTTTCCCAAGGGTATTTGTGTATAAGGGCATATAAAGATCCTGAATGAAATTCGAAATTCTGTTCATTACACTATCTGTATATTCAAGCTTACAGGTATTTCTAAGCAGTTTACTGCTTCTTTGATTACCAAATCAAAGGAAGAATAATTATTAAGAAAGCTTAGATTTCGATTTTATCTTTCTCTCATTAAACTAAATATTTATTGTAAAAGGATATAAGATGAAACTCTTGCATTTCTTGAATGTTAATATAATGACATTTTCTTGCAACAAAATCTTTTAATGCATTTGTAAATTTTCACCTTTGACACAATTATATGCTTCCTATCATTCTGTTTGTGCTGTCCACCACTTTTTGTCCATAATGGAAACCATCATACATCAAGAAAACAACCTACTGCTTCAAAGGACATAAAAAACTTATTTTTCCATTACCATTCTTGAGTAAATAAGACTAATTAAACCAAACAAAGATTGGGTGTTTTTTTATCATTTAATCCCAAGCAAGGTAATAAAGCCACTAAGATGCAGTGGGTTACTATATGAGAGAGAATATGAGAAAAAAACACTATCATAGAGAGAGAACAATAAAAGAATGTGGATAAAGACAGAAGATAATGTATATATATTGTATATAAATTTTTGAAGATAAATTTGACTGGGAAACCAGAAGAGAGTTTCACAAGCAAGAAGTGTGAGAGAATAAACTGTTAGCAATACACAAGGGATAAATCTCTATCCCAATCACGTTTGAACAAGAGTAATGGTTTATTCCTTTCTTCCTGTTTAGTATTTGGTTTCCTGTTTCTTCTAAAGCCTTTTCCTTCACTTTCATTTCTAGTTGTCCCTTGCAACTTGGTGGCATTATCTCCTTGCTTGGGGGTGGGGCTTCATACTCAGAACCCTCTACCTCCAGTGGCTCTCAGGCTTTGTAGAGAGTGAACAACATTGTAAAAAAAATGAATATAATGAACCCAACGATTCCGATCCATTATCCATTACACCACCTGATATTCCCAAGTATAAAAATTTATATTTTAATGACTATGTTTTATTATAACAATAACATTATATGATTTAAATATTCTGCTGATTTAGATTTACATTCTGACTAATGTCCTCATCTTTGTTGTTGTTATCACAATGTTGTGGTTGTTTTGTTGTCTGGATTTCTTCAGGTGACCTCTATCAACATGCACATGAAGAAGGCCAAAGTTCACAATCGCCAAAATATTGTGATAATAACAATAAAAATAAGGACAATAATCTGAATGCAAATAATATATATAAGATTTAGTAATTAGAGAGATTGTCCGTGTCTTACTTGTGACCCAGGTAAATTTCATTTTATTAAACAAAAAATATGACACGGATAAGTTAATGAGAAATGTTCACTTATTTTTATTTATTCTTTAATCTTCAGTTTCTCTGTTTTAATCTTTGTATTTGACAAACATGAAATAGGAGAGCTGAGTTCGAATTCTAGCTGGGTTCATTATATTAACTTATGCACGAATACCGTGAGAAAGATATGAATCCATCTTTTGTCCCCTTATCTATGGGTTCAATAGTTTATAGTTGAATGGCTTATTTTTTAGATTTATACATTTTTGTGATGTAAGACGCTCACTCATAACTTCCTTTAGGTCAACGAATGTTTGTTATTACTTCTGAAATGCTCATTGTAAACAAGACTTTGTAATGCACATACTGGTAGTAGTAAGCGTTCAAATAATACTTACCCTAATAATACTTGTTCAAATAATAATCACTGAATAGTATAATGATCGGTATAGAAAAATAGTATAGTGATCCATATAGTAATAGAGGATAGTGTAGAAGTAGCGATCCTTTAGTCATCACACCACTTCCTATTTATATGTTTTCTTTACGATCACATGATTTACTTAATTAAATCATTGGATTGCCCGCATTTGCTCACTGGCAATCTATGTTCAAACTACAGTGTCGGCAGTGACACTTTGCCCCTATATAACACACATACTGGGGCACCTCGGCGTGGTGTAATGGTTAGCAAGCTTGCCTCACTATATCAGTTACAACTGAACAGTGAGTTCGATCCTCAATAGGTGCCACATACTTTCGGCCTTGTGCCACATCTAAGCTACGCTTGGAAAATCTCTGGGTACCTCATGGCGGTGTAATGGTTAGCAAGCTTGTCTTGCTAGATCAGTTACTACTGAAAAGTGAGTTCGATCCTCACTGGGTGCCCCATACTTTCGGCCTTGTGCCACTTCTAAGCTACGCTTGGAAAATCTCTACAACACACATACTGACTGATATTCAGAGGTAGAATTTAAAAAAAAGAAATATGAGAATTTCTGGGATAAGAAGTTATTAGAGTCTGTCTATATTTCTGAGATGAGGTATTATGTACATTATTTACATTATTCAGACTATTGTCCTCATCTTTGTCGCCATATTTATCACAATGTTTCAGCCGTTGTACACTCCGGCCTTCTTCAGGTGGTTGGAATGTCGAACTGAACCTTTTATTTCGCTCACCGGGTTAGACTGTTCTAGTTCCACGTGCCATGTTTGATGGATGTCAGTTATCAGTTATCTCCTGTTAATTTCCCTCTGAAAGTTCTCCACTGCCTTAACCGGGTATTGAACTGACACTCTTTGTGTCCTGTCACTGGATCTAACCAACGCCTTTATCCACTGTGCCATATGTCCTTTCATCAGTTATTATATATTCAGACTATTTCTTAGTTGAGTTACTTAAGGGAAATAACTGAAACAGATATCTGGAAGAGACATAGCATGTGGAACTAGAACATTCCACCCCGTGGATGAAATAAAGAGTTTCATTTGAAATTCCATACACCTGAAGAAAGCTGTAGTGTACAACGACTGAAACGTTGTGAATCTAACAACAATGATGAGGACAAAAGTGTAAATATCCAGACTATTGTCCTCATCTTTGTTGTTGTTATCATTGAATTCCAGTTGGGTTCGTTGCATTTATTTATGTGTAAATAACCTTGGGAAAGGTATGAACCCATCTCTTCTCTCATTAGCTATGGACAGAGTGGGTCCTATAGCCTTGGCTGGCAACCAGTCTAATGCAGAAAGAAACACCAATGTACTGCAGGAAAATCTTCTACCTAGACAGTCATGAATCGAAAGAGACATGATCGCCCAAGTGTATATCACGTACGGCACTTAACTGACTGATGGACTGAATAGACAAATACTATGACAACAAAGCAGTATCCTGTCATAGATACCCTCGATAAGTTATTGTATTAGGAGTTTGAAACAATGAAAACATTTTGATTAGATCACTTAGCTGGCGACCAGGACATCTTACAGTTCCAACATGAATGTCAAAATATGACAGGCAATTTATATAGATATCTTGTCTAAAGTTGTGAGATTAAGGTCATTATTCCATAAATTATTAAGATGAGCGCCCTTATCTTTCTTGCTTTTATCAGTATGATTCAGCTGGCATCTTCTTTAGTCTTCCTTGTAGTTTAATAGTTTAAGATAAACCAACTATTTTATGAATTATTCAGACGAGTATCCTCACCTTTGTGGTTTTGATCACATTTCAACTGCTTTAAAAATAGGTAGAATATAAACAAAACAAATGAAATTTTTTTTCTGTCTGAATTTCTGGGATGTGGAGTTTTTATTTACACTGTGTATATTTGGACTTTTATCCTCATCTTTGTTATTGTTAACACAGTATTTCAGTCATTATGCCTTCCTCAGGTGTATATTGATCTACACCTTAGGAAGATCAGAGGACACAATGGCTGAAACATTGTTATAATGACAACAAAGATGAGGATAACAGTCTCAGTATAAATAGTGATCTTCCTCTGGTGTTGATCAATATACACCTGTGCAAATCTGGAGGACAAAATTGCCAAAACGTGATAGCAACAACAAAGATTAGGACAACTGTCCAAATATAAATGGTGCAAATAAAGATCATTTGTATGAATAATTGCTGGAAAAAGTACACAGAAAGAAATGTTGCAACCATAACAGATGAATTCTTTTAGCTCAATAGTTGAAAAATTTGTCTAGAAGAACACTAAGAGAAAATTGAAGAAAATCA